CCAGTACTGACCGAATTTGTTCCCATAAGAAATATTGTGAAGTAGATTAGTCCATTTCAGACCCCCAAACATACACGTACAAACGCACTTACATAATTGGTCGCATTCGGAGGTAATCGTTATGCGGGGGTCCACTGTAATTGAAATTTCTCATCGTTGAACTTCATATTGTTTTCTGCAGCCCACTGAAAGATTTGGTTGATGTCCACCTGGAGCCTTGCAGTATCTGCAATGGAAGACACTGTCATGCAGATTCGGGTGTCATCTGCAAAGGAAGACACGGTGCTGTGGTTGACATCCTTGTCTATGTCGGATATGAGGATGAGGAACAAGATGGGAGCGAGTACTGTGCCTTGTGGAACAGAGCTTTTCACCGTAGCTGCCTCGGACTTTACTCTGTTGACACTACTCTCTGTGTTCTGTTAGTGAGGAAATTATAGATCCATCGACCGACTTTTCCTGTTATTCCTTTAGCACGCATTTTGTGCACTATTACGCCATGGTCACACTTGTTCGAAGGCTTTTGCAAAGTCTGTATATATTACATCTGCATTCTTTTTGTCTTCTAGTGCATTAGGACCTTGTCGTAGGTAGTAAATCACTTCTCTGTTCTTCAGGATGAGTGTGCTTCAGTGGTTAGTGAAGGTAAAGGTACTACTTTCCTGCTAATAGAGGTAAGCAAATTCTTGTGGTTGATGACTCACAGGTAAGATGTATGAACCGTGCTTTCTGTAATAGGAATAAGGTGAGAGAGTGTTGGTGACAATCAACAGGTGGGATATTTCTAGTAATGGGAACAAGCCCATTATCTGTTTCAGTGCTGGGGGAAATGATATTGGGAAGAGTAGGAGAGCAGAGCTGCTAGAAAAGTACAGGTCAGCTATAGATTTAATTAGGTCTAAGGGAGGGGTCCCAATCATATGTAGCAATTTACCAAGTAGGGGAGTGGGCAATAAATGGTTGTCTAAGGCAATTGGTATAAATTGCTGGCTAGACAGATACTGCAAGGAACTTACAATCCCTATTCATTGACAACTGGGACAACTTTTATGGCAAACATAATACATATGCAAGGGATGGGGTACATCTCTCTGGGGCAGGGGTGGTAGCATTTGCCAACTCAATCAAGAGGGCCATTGCTGACACGTCTAGGACTTTAAACTGATAGAAGATAGAGGTATGGGTGTGTGTGGGAAACAGGCTACAACACTAGGGTTGAAAACAGTAAATGTTTAAGACATTCATCATCAAGTTGCAAAAAAAGAAAATGGATCAGGTCAGCAAACAAAGGAAGACAGCAGAGGGCAGCAAGAGACTAGCTCCCTTAAGGTTTACTATAGTAATAGCAGGAGTGTAAGAAATAGGATAGATGAGCTAAGATTAATTGCAAGTGCAGGAAGCATAGATATTGCTATAACAGAGACCTGGTTCAATCCGAAAGAGAGAAATGCCTTCTGAATGTCACATACAAGGCTATAAATTATTCCACACTGATAGGGTCAACAGGAAGGGTGGTGGAATAGTGATGTATGTCAGAAACAATTTAATGTTGTGTTAGACAAGATATAAAATTAGAAGTCAGCCACTGAATCTGTTTGGTTACAGCTTCTCGAGGGCCATGAAAAACTAATCTTGGGTGTAATTTACAGGCCCTCAGACCTCGATAGTGTGTGCAGTAAATTTCTATGGGATGAAATTCGTAAGGCATTTACATGAAAATGCGCTAATGGGACATTTTAACTTTAGACAAATTGACAGGAGCAATTTGATAGGAAATTTGGAGTCGAGTGACTTTCTTGATACGATTCAGGATTGTTTTCTAAAACAGTTTGTTACAGAACCAACTAGAAGAAATAACCTGAGATTAAGACACATATACAACATCTGGGTATCTTTATTGTAGACGTTTCGCCATCCAGTGGCTTTATCAATACAAATTCTAGGACATAACTTGAAGACAGTAGAACTATGTACAGAAAATGAGGTAATCAGTCCCTCAACCTAGGAGTAGGTGCGAAGAGCACCATAGTCGTGGAGATTCTGTCTTCAAGTTATGTCCTAGAATTTGTATTGATAAAGCCACTGGATGGCAAAACGTCTACAATAAAGATACCCAGATGTTGCATATGTGTCTTAATCTCATCTTGTCGGTATTATATACCATTCGTACACAAGAAATAACCTGCTCGACTTGGTTCCTACCAGCAGGGAATCGCTAATTAATAATCTTGAGGTTAATGATGAGCTTGGGGAAAGTGATCACAAATCACTTTAATATATCATGGAATTACCCTAATAATGGCAGTCAAGTCTCTGTCCCTGACTTCCGCTTGGCTAATTTCATGGGACTGAGAAATTACCTGGGTGGGCTGAAAAAGAATGACCCGACTATGGGTCAGATAGGTGGTGATGGTTGCCGATATGGCATTTTCCAGAGCATAGTTCTAGCTGCGCAGACAATTTATGTTCCAAACAGGGAAATCGGATCAAACAAAAATGATCCTAAATGGATGAACAATAGATTAAAACATCTCACTGGTCAAAAGAGAGGCATATATAGGGAAATCAAAAGAGGAGGGGTAATTAAAAAAGAAATCAATATATTCACTTAGAGAAATAAAAAAGGGAATAAGAAAAGCAGAGATGATATGAGGTTAAAGTTGCAGGGTTTTCCAGTGAGCAGTGGAAAACATGACGTTCAATGGTGATAAGTTCCAGCTGCTTAGGTATGGAAAGAATGAAGAACTCAAAAGGAGCACTATATACAAAACTCAAGAGGGTCACCAAATAGAAGGTAAGGAACACGTAAAAGACCTAGGAATAATTATGTCAGCGGACCTTTCTTTTAAAGATCATAACAAGACAAAGAGCACGACAGCCAGGAAGATGACTGGGTGGGTATCGAGAACTTTCAAAACAAGGGAAACAATGCTGATGGTGACACTCTTCAAATCGCTAGTGCTCCCTCACTTAGAATGTTGCTCAGTGCTGACGGCCCCGTTCAGGGCAGGAGAAATATCAGAGTTGGAACAAATACAGAGATCATTTACGGCTCACATTGAGCCAGTAAAGCACCTAAACTACTGGGAATGCCTGCAAGTCTTGAACATGTACTCATTGGAGCGGAGGAGAGAGGTACATAATATATACCTGGAAGGTACTCGAGAGCTTGGTCCCAAATCTACACACTGCCATAACAACATACTGGAGTGAGAGATATGGGAGAAAGTGTAAAATAAACCCAGTGAGGAGCAGGGGTGCAGTGGGGACAATAAGGGAACACTGTATCAACATCTGGGGTCCCAGACTTTTCAACATCTTACCAGAAGATATCAGAAACACTGCTGGAACAAGTGTTGAAGCCTTCAAGAGGAAACTAGACAAGTATCTTCACCAGGTGCCAGATCAACCAGGCTGTGATGGATATGTGGGGCAGCAGGCCTCCAGCAGCAACAGCCTGGTTGACTGGGCGAGCCTGGCCCATGGCCGGGCTCAGAGAGTAGATATACTCTCGAAATTCTTCAAAGGTATATCAAAGAATCCAAGACTATCCCAAAAGATTTCTTTCAGGTATACAGAAGATAGATTTGGGCCAAGATAGACCCACTCAAAAGTTACACAGGTCAGCTCATGGACAGTGATAAGGAAATGTGTAGAATTTTTAACACTTCCTCTCAGTTTTTACACAGGAAGTTACTAGTGATATTGCTGAAATAAATTATGTAGAACAGGACAATAATAAACTATGCAGGATTAGGGTCACAAGTGACATGGTGCTTAGACAAATATATAAATTAAAACCAAACAAACCCCCAGGCCCTAATGAGCTGTACGCAAGGGTTCTAATGGAATGTAAAGAGGAGCTTAACGAGCCTTTGGCTAATCTTTTCAATATGCCAGATAAGTGGAAAATGGAAAATATAATACCTATTTTAAAAGCAGGTGACAGGTCCTTAGCTTCAGACTATAGACCAATAAGCCTAACCTCCATAATGTGTAAATTTATGGAATTAACAATTGCCAAGGCAATTCGTAGCCATCTTGAAAAGCATAAATTGATCAACGAATCTCGGCACGGTTTTACAAGGGTGTTCCTGCCTTACGAATTTGTTATATTTTTTCACTAAGGTATTTGAGGAGATAGATCATGATAATGAATACGATATTGTGTACATGGACTTCAGTAAGGCTTTTGATAGAGTCCCACACCAAAGACTATTGAGGAAAATTAAGGCACATGGAATAGGAAAAAAATTTTCCTGGTTAGAGGCATGGTTGACAAATAGGCAGCACAGAGTTTGCATAAATGGGGAGAAATCAGGGTGGGGAAGAGTCACGAGCAGTGTTCCACAAGAGTCAAGTGTTAGGCCCCTTGTTCACAATTTACATAACATCCATGTATCAGAAATCTTCCCTATGAGGACACACTGAGGGCCCTGAATCTGCACTCTCTAGAAGGGCATTGAATGGGGGGGACATGACTGAGGTGTATAAATGGAAAACAGGAATAAACAAAGGGGATGTAAATAGCATACTAAAAATATCTAGCCTAGACAGGACTTGCAGCAATGGCTTTAAGTTGGAAAAATTCAGATTCAGGAAGGATATAGGATACTTGTTTGTTAAGTTGTGGATGAATGGAACAAACTCCTAAGTACAGTTATAAGGGTAAAACATTGTGTAAAGTGGGTGCAGGTGAGCATGAGTTGGACCTGACTAGTTTGTGCTACTAGGTCAGATGCCATACTCCTTCCTTCAAGTTAATGTGACCTGACCTGTCTAGGTTTGGGCATTGGCTTAAGCTGGTAGGAAACGTGGACCTGCCTCACATGGGCCAGTAGGCCTGTTGCAGTGTTCCTTCTTCCTTATGTTATGTCCTGGACCCCCCCCCCCCCAAGAGTTGAAGCGACAAAAACTCTAAACACTAGCAAAGAATTCTACATACATTCTTTGCTATTTTATGCATAAAATTGCCAGTTATGGGTTATAAAACCAATTACTTTACCTTTTATTTTTTACTATCATTAATACACTATAAAAGTAAAATAAACTTCAATATACCTATTATACCACAATATTCAAATTTACCCAATTTGAGCCCGACAATTGTTTACGAACACTTACCAGTCAATACTGCATACACAAACTTTAAATAAATTTTTTCAGGCTATCTGTGTTATGGCAGAAATCCCACATGAAAAGCAATACTTGTAATGTTTTCATCCAGCCAAATATCTTTCATTTAATTACAATTTTTACTTTTCATACAAGAAGTCACCAAAGCCACTAAATGCTTATATTTAATAGAGCACAGTAAGGGGCCAAAACAACATCTTGCCTTTACAAATTTAACTAAATCAAAGACCAAGATCTTAAATTACCATACTGCCACTTTTTGTACTAAAGTTTAGAATGCCCTTTTCTTTTTAGTGAATCTTCAGATAATATTCCTTTGGCAATAAATACCTCTCTCATGATCTTTTTAAGATAGATAAGCTCTTGCTTAATATTTGAATATTTTACTTTAAGCTGCTGCTGTCTCTCTTCTTCAGCTTTTATCTGTGACATAAGCTCATCATCTTCCTGTTTCTTCTTTTGTCTGTACCTGAGAGCTGCTTGCTTATTCTGTTCTTTCTTTCGTTCTCGTCTGTCCTCTAGATATGGTGAACTTTTAGGTGCTTTGCGTGAAGCTTTGCTTTTTCGAGGTGACCGAGAGTACGAATGTACCTCTGACTGAATGCAATTTTCGTTAAGTTCTCCCTCACTATGCAATGGAGAATTTGCTCTAGAATTTTTGTCATTATGATCTGGGGACAAAAAAGAAAGAAATAGAGAATCATTAACAGACTGTTCTGGAGAAAGACTACCAGCTGATGGCACTGGGGAAGGGATGGGTACTGGCGATGCAGGTTCTGATCCCAATGAATTAAAATCAGACAAATCCAAATCAGCATTACTAGATTCTAATTGTGAAAGTAAATCATCCATATCAGCTTCATCCATGGACGAGTCCAAGGATGTGTTCATAGTAGTAAATTCATTGCCATCCATTTCATTTCCTATCATTTGAACCACTTCATTAATTAAATCATCAGCATCACAGATACTGTCAGCAGCAACTGTATTAGATAACTGAACATTCTGAGAGCCATTAATATTTGGAATACAAGACGAAAGTGCTGTGGATGATACTGTAACTTCTGATTGGGAACAATCCTCAGGCTTTCTTGTAGGTACACGTACAGCCACCTTTTTCATACAGATGATTAATTTTGGGGAGGATGATGTCAAAGAAATTAAGTTGGCTGAGAGTCCTTGTGGAGTGCTTGTTTGTGGCAGCAATTCTGAAAGAGGCACAAGCATATCTTCTGGCTTGATAGCTGTACTATAATCATCCATAATACCAACTGTTTCATGATCTTGAGAGATGTCATTTTCAAAATTCTGAGAAAATGAAAACATCAAACAGCTTTACATTGGAAAGACCCAAGTGTTCTCTGCTCTCCATCCAATCAGGGAGTTCTGTAAGTGAAGAAAGAAAGATTATTTTAATAATGCCTGCAACTAGTGGAGAAGCCATTTCAAATCTCTGAAACTTTTTTAATACTCCGAACATCTCCAATCAAAGCAGGGTGACAGCGAAAATGTTTTCATTGTCTTGTTACAATGCCTCGACGAGAGATAGCAGAAGTGTTAAGAGAAAAATAAAAAATATAAAGCTAAAGGTACAGTGGACAAGGAAAGCAATAAAAAATAAGGACAATACACTAAATCCAAAGTTCATACAGTACTGCATATTAAATATGGCAAATATCAAGTCAATTTATAAGCTTTTATTAACATAAAAGCTGCTTTCAACACATTCAGTAATTTTTATTTTAACAAGTTGGCCGTCTCCCACCAACGCAGGGTGGAAAAAAAAAAAAAAAAAAACTTTCACCAACATTCACACAATCACTGATTTGCAGGTGCACCCAGATATAACAATTTGTATGTCACTCCAAACAGCCAATATCCCAAACCCTTCCTTTAAAGTGTAGGCACTGTACTTCCCACAACCAGGGCTCAAATCCAGCTAACCGATTTCCCTGAATCTCTTCACAAAATATTACCCTGCTCACACTCCAACAGCTCGTCAGGTCCTAAAAACCATTCATCTCCATTCACTCCTATCTAACATGCTCACATAACTGCTGCATGTAATCCATTAATAATGCCTTGCAGTGACATTTTAATGAGGGATGGAACAATATAAATTTTTTTTTTTGCAATACCAATAACCAATTTTAGGCAAATACTGATACCATCAAAATTACCCAACACAAACTTTGGTACACCCCTAATTATGACCTCCATGGCATCCAAGCTCGAAAATTTTAAAATTTCAGTCAACATACAGACCATTTTATTTAACTGAGACAATCTTGTGTAAAGTTTATAACTGAGACCTCTCTTTTGCCCTATGGCATTCCTCAGGTCTCTGTTCTTGTACCAGTATTATACATTAGTGGCTCAGCCTTGTTATTTGATGCACATGGGGCTGATTTTAAGTGCTGACAATACACAAGTCCACATCCAGGTTCTAAATATGAAAATGCAAAACTTTTAATTTTCTTGTACTAGATATTTGGACTTGGACAGTTTAAAAACTGTAGTGTAAAGCACCCTTCTGGCAAGACAGTGATGGAGTGAATGATGGTGAAAGTTTTTCTTTTTCGGGCCACCCTGCCTTGGTGGGAATCGGCCAGTGTGATGATAAAAAAAAATAAAAAACTAAATGAGGGGTAACATTTTAATTGTCATGGGGAACCTTGGGGAATTACAGATTTGAGATGTTGATGCCTTCAATAGTGGTACTGTCAGGTTACAGCCTATAGGATCAGCGAGGGATGAATGTCTACCTAAACTTTTCATTGCCATTTGGACACATCAACCATATTGTTAAATCCCGTAACTTTCATAATTTGATATCTTCATGCAGTCAGAAAATATCTCAACGAGTACAGTAGATCGTCATTTAGCACAAGTTTATTTGGCACGATTTGGGTATAGCACAACTGAAGAATTGCAGCACAATTTTATGTAACGCGTCGTAAAATTAACTGAACACTTACTGACTTGACTGAATGACTTACTGGCTTGACCGACTGAATGACGAAGTTAGACACTCCAGTACAACCATAAGTACCAGAACGTCTACCATCCACCTCATCCCAGTAGTGCCACAGCGTAACTCTCCACTCTCTTCACAATCATCCACAAACTCCAGCACCCACAATTTAAGGTAAGAAATACGATTATTTCTGTTGCATTTGTAGTCTTAACCAGTAAAAACATTATACAAACATTTTTTACTCCTAAATGGGCTTCCCACTGGATAGCTGCACTGGTTACCTTGGCAAGAATTGAATTTAAATGGTTTATTAACATTTAAAGCTATGTTTAATCCTTTCACTATCAGTGCCGTAATATTACGGCTTACAAGCCAGTGTTGGTGCCATAATATGCCAATGTTCTGCTAGCTTCTAGTCTTCCAGAGGAAAGCTGGTAGGCCTACATATGAAAGAATGGGTCTGAGTGGTCAGTGTGTGCAGTATAAAAAAAAAAAAACCTGCAACAATGCATAATGAGAGAAACTTCATGGTTTAAAACACCAACTTTGAGGTGTATTTTCGTATGGTATTTATGGTTGTATTCTTGTTTTCTTGGTCTCAATTGGCAGAATGGAAGATATATTACAGAAACAGAGATGATTTTGAATAGTACCTGGAAATTGAGCTCAAAGTACTAGAAATGTTCAATTTTTGCCAATGTTCAAGAGTATACAAATCATGTCACGCGTCCAATACACGTCAACTGGTGGGTCAAATATGCTTTCACATATGTGCTGATATTATTTATACCATTTTTACAATAATGCAGTAGTCTGCATAACAGTAAATCTTCTATTTTTTGTGTGAATAAAAATTCAAAATGGAAAGCAAGCGTAATACAAGAGGGGCCTGGAGACATGACTAATAAACAGAGTTATTTTAGTGCTAGGAATGTTTGTACTGTTAATTCTGGACCCTATTTTGGAATTGGCATTACTTGAATTGTATATGAAATTGGCCAAATTACCAATTTCTGATCACTTTATTGGGTAGTTGAAATTGGTAAATGGGCAGTTTTTTGTACTCAATCGATAGAACAAGTGGAGTTCTAGTGAAATAGCAGAGTTTGGTCAACTGGAACAATGGAATTGCTGAAAATAGGGCTTCAAGTGGGCAAAATCGCAGATGCTTTAAATATCACTGAGACTGCTAACTTCGCAAGGGCGTAATTCCATAAGTTTTCCTTCAAATTTCATACTTTTGGTGGCATTACTATCGGGAAAAGATTCTCTATCATTTCACAAGAAAAAATATTTTTTTTTTTAAATTCTTTGACACTGAAAGCAAGTTTGTGAGCAGGGGTCTCGACAGTGAAAGGGTTATGTGAACGGGTCTCGACAGTGAAAATGTTATGTGAACAGGGGTCTCAATAGTGAAAGGGTTAACCTGTAAACGGTCGAAACATATATATACGTCCTTACCGCTAGCACGTCAAACATAGATATACGTTTTATTTTTTCCTGCCTCCCAACTTGGCACAATTGGCCTGAGATGCCTGGTCAGCATAGAATGGGTCTTAACATTTGTGCAAAGCCCTTTCAATTTTGGTACCACTGATAGTCATCCTGCCAAAATGTCCTATAACCTATGCCCTAAGTAAAAAAATAATTCTGGAACATATAATACATGTTCAGCAGGCTGGCTGACAGCCAATCAGTCTCTATCTCCATCTGTCTGTCTGTATCTGTCTCTCATAGTAACACATACGTAAAAAAATTATAGTGTAAATTACCTAGGATAACCCAAAAAAATCCAGACAAAGTGCTATACAGTGGACCCCCGCCTTTCGTGAAATCTGACTTTTGGCAACTTTTTTCGACAAAACAGTCTCGTGATTCAGTGACCATCTGGTACGTGTCGGAGCAGCATCCCAGTGTCAGCACACTCAAATCCAGCCTCCTACACCATTCACACTCAGTGTGCCATTGCTTATCAGCGAGTAAACATCACCCCATGGGTTCATACAATACATTTCATAATAATCCATTTTTTTTTGTGCTTGCAACTGCTAAATAAGCCACCATGGGCCAAAAGTAAGCTCCTAGTGCCAGGCCTTTGGTAAAGAAGTAAAGAAACGACAGAATTCGAGAAAAAACCCGTAGCAAAGTACCAAAGTGGACGAGGAAGAGGGAAGAACGTGCCTTCTTCAGTGATTCTACAATAAGTACGATACTAAAGCAGCAGGTATCGATAAAGGCTATAGCACCAGCCAGTGATAGGGTTTTTTTTTTTTTTTTTTTTTTGGGTTAAAAAAAAAAAAAAAAAAAAAAAAACCCTATCACTGGCTGGTGCTATACCTTTCGTACCTGCTTTTTTTTTGTACTTATTGTAGAATCACTGAAGAAGGCAGTTTTTCCCCTTTCCTCGTCCACTTTGGTACTTTGCTACGGGTTTTTTCTGAATTCTGTGTTTCTTTACTTCTTTACCAAAGGCCTGGCACTAGGAGCTTATTTTTGGGGCCCATGGTGGCTTATTTAGCAGTTGCAAGCACAAAAAAAAATGGATTATTATGAAATGTTTGTATGAACCCATGGGGTGATGTTTACTCGCTGATAAGCAATGGCACACTGAGTGTGAATGGTGTAGGAGGCTGGATTTGAGTGTGTGACACTGGGATGCTGCTCCGACACGTACCAGATGGTCACTGAATCACGAGACTGTTTTGTCGAAAAAAGTTGCCAAAGTCAGATTTCACGAAAAGGCGGGGGTCCACTGTATAGCACTTTGTCTGGTTTTTTTGGGTTATCCTAGGTAATTACACTATAATTTTTTTACGTATGTGTTACTATGAGAGACAGATACAGACGGGGACAGATGGAGATAGAGACTGATTGGCTGTCAGCCAGCCTGCTAAACATGTATTATATGTTCCAGAATTATTTTTTTACTTAGGCATAGGTTTAGGACATTTTGGCAGGATGACTATCAGTGGTACCAAAATTGAAAGGGCTTTGCACAAATGTTAAGCCCCATTCTATGCTGCCCAGGCATTCAGGCCAATTGTGCCAAGTTGGGAGGCAGGAAAAAAAAAAAACGTATATCTATGTTTGACGTGCTAGCGTTAAGGACGTATATATATGTTTCGACCTTTTAAACAGGTTAACCCTTTCACTATTGAGACCCCTGTTCACATAACATTTTCACTGTCGAGACCCCTTCACATAACCCTTTCACTGTCGAGACCCTGCTCACAAAAATTTCTTTCGTGTCAAAGAATTTTAAAAAAAAATATTTTTTTTTTGTGAATGATAGAGAATCTTTTCCCGATAGTAAAGCCACAAAAGTATGAAATTTGAAGGAAAACTTTTTGGAATTACGCCCTTGCGAAGTTAGCGTCTCAGTGATATTTAAAGCATCTGCGATTTTGCC